ATAAATATTAGCATAAATAATTAAAGGAGAAACACATTGTAACTAATATAAACTAGCATGATTCGCTCTTCACTCGTGCCCCATCATGAATATGCCTCAATACCTAAAAAACTTATCTCTACTTGTCTCCACTACTCTCCATTAAAAATGGGTCATCATAGGGCCAAGATAAAGACATGGCCAAACACACAAACACACACAATCAACAAAGCTGAGTACATAAGCGTAATTAAACACACTAACATGCTTTCACCTATTAACACACACTTACCTCAATGCACCTGTTTACAAGCACACACAACAATCAACAAGACACTTTAACTAGACACTAAATAATTCATTTAGCGTTGATTACGCATCGAACGGGTTTCCAACTAATCCTATCCCAATAAATTGGGGTTAACTGACACGGGAGCTAACCGTGCCAGCAACAAACCTGTGCCACACATAGGTGGCGGAATTCCAGCGCATAATAATAAAAAGGAATATACAGCGTCCTGTACTCCGTTAGAAGTTATGATCAAATATAAAGTCACATAACTCCCCCCCCATATGTTCATACTCAAGGTATATACGTTCCAAGAGTTTTGGTGCGTAATCTCTTTCACTTTACATTATTTACATATTATTAGACTTGGTGATGACTCTCAAGGCATAATAAGTCAATCAACAATAATTATTCAATCAAACAAATATACCAATTTAATTCTTGAATAATTAGTGTCCACATAATATTTAATGTTGAACCCTTTTTAATTCTACCTCAGTGTCGAAGACACCTTAAACGCATAAAGCGCCAACAATCCTATACCTCGGTATTAAAACACCTTAAGTGCACAAAGGCATCAACATACAATTTATTCCTTGTGTACATAGACACTTATATAGCTCCTTTCTCATGCTTAAATCATCAATAAAAATTATATGAACCATAATAAAATTTCTTTTCAATATTCCAAACATAATTAAACAATTAGTTTAATTAAACATGCTCTCTATCATGCCATAAATAAATATGTAGTCCATATAATCATGCCAAAATATAATTTTCCAATCCATAAACCATCACAAATAATTCATGCTTCACAATTCAATCACCGACACCAATAATTCACGATTCTATACATAACCCTTAGCATGATACTACTTGTAATTGATTGAAATTAAACCTAGCATGATTCTACATCATCAAAATATGCTAAGTACGCGAACGTACCTCAAATAAGCCCTTAAAGTAGCCGATTACACTACAATAATTCCCGAACCAAGTCTCCTACATAAAGGGACAATAATACTATATTAATTACCCTTGTATACACAATTTCCAGCAACTTAAACTCACTTTAAATAACTTATAATAATCTGAAAATTATTTAAAAACCCCTAATTAAACTCCTTTTTAATGGATAATCACACCCTTTTATTAAAAATCACAATTATACTACTTTAAATACAATTCCAACATTTTAAACTAATCAAAAATCCTTTAAAACTTCATCAAAATACATCTTTATACTTAAATTATTCATAGGAACATTAAATTATCTCTTACCCCTTTTAAACTCAAAGATAAAATTTAAAGCATAAAAAAAAAAACGGAAATTTCACCATATACCACTGAGTTTAAGCATAATTCACCGTATACCACCAAAAACTTTCTAATACACCATATACCACTCAGTTACTGTATATTAACACAAAATGTCCTTTTTGCTAACTGCCGTTAGTCTGCCGTTTGGGGGACTTTACCATTATGCCCTTATACATCTAACTGGCGCCATTGATAGGGTTGATTCCCCCAAACATAATTTTTCTAGTTTGAAAAAATTGACCCCCCATTTCCCCTTTCCATTGAAGCTTCTCTCTGTTCTTCTCCATTAAAATCGAACCCCAAAATCAATCAAAAAGCTTCAAACTTTCATCGATCCAAGGTCGACGTTGCCAGTATGTTTTCAATTTGGGGCTTGTGATTGGAAAAAGAACGAACTTGGTGAAGTTTGAGAGAGAGGAAGTTGTTCTTGACTGAATTTCGGTCGTAATTCGCACCTGGGCTCGATCAAGCTTTCTGAAGGTAAAATTATCCTTTTCAATTTGTTTTTCGAGGCCTGATTTTTCTGTTTATTGCGAAATTGAGTTAGGGTTAGGGTTTGTTCGACATTGATTATGTGAGTGTGGTTGTTATGTTATTATGTGGGAATGATGTGTTACATGCGATTTATAAGTAAGTTTGTTGTTAAGTATGATGTGTTGGTGTGTGTTGTTAATTTTTGTTGTGTATTATTCATGAATAGGATGAGTGCACTTTGGCTGTTAGTTCGTTCGCCAGGTGGTACTTTTGATGTTAGGGTAGATGATACTGATAAGACAAATTTGATGGAGTTATTTGAGTATATGTTTGAGGATTCAGTGAAGCAGAATGTTTTCCTCCCTAAGTACTTCACTTTGTTTGTGAGTAAATCTAGAACTAATCGTAAGCTGGAGTTAGTGGATGATGGGGCAATGTTGAAAATGTGGGAGTGGAATGAAGGGAAGGATGAAATTGAAGTGTTCATAGAAGAGACACAAAACCCATTGGTTGTCTTTCAGTCTGCAAAAGCTAGTTGGGCTAGAACTGTGAAGAATAGGGCTGACCAAATTAGGCAGAAGGAGGAAGAGAGAAGGAAAAATGCAGAGGCTGAAGAAGTTGAGGAGGAGCTTAATGCTCAAGTACCATATATTGTTGCTGTAGAGGTCCCTGTTGTGAATGCAGAAGATGATGTGCTTGAATATGTGAGGGTATTCCACACTACAGCAGCTGATGAGTCATTTCCAGGAGATTCTCAGCCTCAACCTTCACAAAATGAACCATGTCAACCCTCAAATGAAAAAAGTAAGACACCATCACCACCCAAAAAAAATCCTAGAAGGAAAAAAGTAAATCCAAGGAAGAAAAAAACCCAACCTTCACAATCTACTCAACCAACTCAGCCTCCATCTCCACCAAATGTTTCTCAAGAGCACCCTTCTCCACCAACAACACCAACACACCATGCTTCCCCCCCACCCAGGCAACCTACACCACCACCCCCACCCAGGAAACCTACACCACCACCCCCACCCAGGCAACCTACACCACCCCCATCCCCACCACCACCACCCCCACCACCACCTCAACCAAATACAGCTGCATCAAGGCAACCAACCCAAACTAGGGGTGCTTCTAGTTCTGCAGCAAAGCCTAAAGAACAAACAAGGGTTAAACCAGCTGAATGGAGGGTGCCTAGAAGCACAGCAAAGAAGTATGGTGTTGAGGTTGGGAAAAACAAAAGAGGAGGGAGGGAAATCAATACTAGGAGCAAAAAACCTATGCATGTTCAAGAAACTGACAGTGAGTCTGATCCATGGCCATTTGATGATAGTGATGATGATGACTATGAATTTTCTGAAGATGAGGGTGATATGGAGATGGACTTGAACCTTGATGATGACTACATTGTGGAAGAGGATGACCTAGCTGATAACATACCAGAGAAGACATTTGAAGATTACCTAGATGGATCTCATGCTCTGGACAAGATGTACAGAAATGGCAAGGTTTGGGCTAACTTACCATTTGGGTCAATTCAGCTGGAACCTTGGTTAATCTTTGAAAACAAAACACAATTTCATGAGGTATTCAGAGATTTTTGCATACAAGAAGGCTTTACAGTGTCAGTTGACTATGCTGATAATTACAGATATACAGCTAGGTGTCTGATCAGTGACTGCAATTGGAGGATTCATGCAGCAGTTCTTGTTGATAAGGTGAGCTGGGATATTAAGAAGCTAGAAGGTGAACATAGAACTTGTGGGATGCTGGAAGAGAACCCCATGGTCTCTTCAGCATGGCTCTGTAGACAGTTGAGGCAAGACTTAGAGGCAAACCCAGAGACTCCAGTTGAATCATTACAAAGAATGTGCCTGGAAAGGTTTAGGATCCAAGTGAAGCTCAGATTGTTTTATAAAGTGAAGTGTTTAGCCAGGGAGCAAATTCATGGTGGTTTTGCAGAGTCTTATGCAATTTTACCAAAATATGCAGAGATTATTAAAGCCACAAATCCTGGCTCATATGCTCTGATCACATGGACTGACAATGGGGTTAATGGTACCAAATTCAAGGCATGTTTCTTCTCTTTTGCAGCTCAGGTGAAAGGGTTCTTGAGTGGTTGCAGACCCATTATAGGGATAGATGGTGCACATCTAAGTGGGTATTACAAAGGAATTATGCTCACTGCAGTAGGCATTGATGGTAACAATGAAATTTTTGTAATAGCTTATGGATTGGTGGATACAGAGAGCATAGACAGCTGGTCTTATTTCTTCACAAACCTAAGACACTTATTTGCCCAGAATGGTTGCCAGAAGGAAGATTGGACTTTTATAAGTGACAGGATGAGGGTTAGTGTCTTGCTTTTTTTTGTAATTCAACTTTGCTTCTCTTATGTGAATGACCACTAACCAAGTGTTTAATCTTCCCTGAAGGGTGTTGAACCAGCCCTTTTTGAAGTGTTCCCAAGGGCAACAAGGAGAGTCTGCTGTCAGCATCTGTACTTAAATTGCAAGACTGCTGGATGGAGTGGGACAGAGTTCCATGAGCTATTTTGGATTGCAGCCAATGCCTATAATGAGTATGTATATGACAAAGCAATGTCAAAGATAAAGAAGTATGATGCAGCAGCATTTGAGTACCTGACAAATATTGAAGAGCAGTGGACTAGGCACAAGTTTGACAGAGTTGTTTGTTGTGATCATAACACAACAAACTTTGTTGAGTCATTCAACTCAGTTACAAAGGACAACAGAGACATGCCTGTGTTCACTTTACTGGAAGATATTAACTAACACTTTATTTCATGAGTTCAGTTGGTACTTTATTTCTTGTTCTGATATCTGTGAATTTGTTTGTGCTGTATTTGTTTTTTTTTTTTTGTTTTTTTTTTTCAAAAACTAAACCAGCTGTCAGGAATTGGTGCATGAAAAGAATGGGTTCCAGGTTTGACAAAGCAATTGACATGGACCCTAATGAGCTGACAGAACATGCTAAAGAGGTTTTGGAGACAAGAAGTGAAGAGTCAAGGTTGTGTCATGTAACAACAGCTAGTGGGAGAGAGTTTGAAGTCAGGGATGACCATGTCAAGTTCCCTGTCACACTTCAGACTATGACATGTGGGTGTGGGAAATGGCAGGGATCAGGGATACCATGCAGGCATGGTCTTAGGGTCATCTACAGCCAGAGACTACAGCCAACAGATTTTGTGTCACCATACTACAAGGGGGCTGCGTATAAGATGACTTATGGAGACCATATCCACCCTATGGCTGATCCTACTCATTGGCCTGCATTTGATGTACCTGAAATTTTACCACCAACTGTCAAAAGAACTGCAGGCAGACCAGCTAAGCAGAGAAGAAGAGCCCCTCATGAAGCAAGGAAAGGAAAGAGGCACAAGAACAACAAATGCAGTGTTTGCAAGGAATTGGGACACAATGCCTTAACCTGTAAGGCAAGGAAGGAAGCAGCAAAAAAGGCACAAGATGCAGCAACCTCTTCACAGCAAGCCAAAGGAAGGGGGAGGAAGAGAAAGGCTGACAGTCAGCAACCTTGAAGCTGCCATGCATGATGTGTCAACTTTGTTTGAGGATAATTTTTAAAATTTTTTGTTAAGTTTCTGGTATTTTGCTCAACAAACTGTTAAGTACTTGGTTGTTTTTTAGGGATTACTATTTGACCTTAAGTGTTAATGCACAATTATGTGGCCATAATTTTTGGAATGATAATGAACTTTGATTACAATAATAATTTCAAGGCTACATATAACTAATGCACTTTGTTTACATTAATCATTTCAAGGCTACAAATACAATTAACAAAAACATAAGTACTCCTATTTTTATTGCTAGATCAACTATCTTTTGCTGCCTTACTACTCTTCGCTTGAGGTCCTTCAACTCTTGCTTCAACAACCTCTCATCTCCATAGTATTGGGTGTCTATCCCTCCCCTACTTTGATTTTCATAACCCGATTGGACATTTTGCTCGACATTGCCCTTGCACCATCTAAATATGTCACACACATCACACTTATAGTACAACCGTTGCGGATTTTTTGCCGATTCAGAACTCCGTATTGCAAACTTCCTACCACAAGAACACGCTTTGTTAGGCACTCTTACAAAACCGGACGACGATGATTTCGAGTGTGTGGACATCTTTGCAAATGTGTTTAGAAGAGTGACCTGAAACATGAATCCCTCACGCCCAGCTTTTATATAGACAAAGTAGTCGTTATCAATGTGCAACGGCTAATTTTTTTCAAAAAAAGTTACCGTTTTAAAAAAGTGGTATACTGTGAATTAACCTTAAACTACATGGTCTATGGTGAAATTACTTATAAATTAACGGTATATGGTGAATTAGTAAAGTCCCCCAAACGGCAGACTAACGGCAGTTAGCAAAAAGGGCATTTTGTGTTAATATACAATAACTGAGTGGTATATGGTGTATTAGAAAGTTTTTGGTGGTATACGGTGAATTATGCTTAAACTCAGTGGTATATGGTGAAATTTCCATAAAAAAATACTTCGTTAAAAATCAAAAACTGCTCGTAAATCGTATTTAAAGGCTGAATTTGGCCACGAGAGGGTAGTGCTCACTACCAAAGGTAGTGAGTCTTTCTTAAAACGTTGTTTTCACTCGAAAAACACTACTTTGTTTTTTATCAAAATCGGAGGAGTTTTGAACCTGATCGGGATTAAAACGAGATTAATATTAACGAACGGAAATCTAGTTATTAAAACATGAATTTGCGTGTTTAAAATAAATCTGGAATTAAGTTAAACTAATAAGTAGTTATAATCACCAAAATTTCAAAACATCGTTACTATAAAAGCCCTAAATCAATTATTCATAAAAACCCTAAAATCATGATTTTCAATAATTAAAAACCCTAGGTTATAAAATTTACAAAATCTGAAAATTATAAAGTTCAATCATCAAAATAAAATTTGATACTAGTTAAATTAATTTCTAACAATAAAATCAAAACCCATAGATCAATAGTTATAATTACACAAATTAATAAAACAAAGGAGAGAAGAAATAAGACTAATCTTTTTGTGTGGGAAATTTTTGGGGATTCATGGGGTATTTATAGAGTAAAAAGTGTAGGGTTAAGTTTGGGCTTATAAAAATGTGGGCTTGAGTTATGGGATAGGGCTTAAGTTATGGGTTTTGGAATGGGTTATTCCAATAAGAGTATGTAGGAATAATTTACAATGCCCAACAATTAATAAACGTTTGGCCCAAAACATATTTTACTTTTATAAAACTTTATATTTAAAATACTTTAACCCTTTAAAATATTTAATTAAAATACTTCAGCCCTTGACAATACATTTTATTAATACTTAAATACTTTATAAAAATACATAAAAATACGGGGTATTACAGTCTACCCCCTTTAAAAGAAGTTTCGTCCTCGAAACTTAGGTACGAAAACTTTGAAAACTCGTTTAAAGGCAAATAAATACTTAAAATCTCAAAAACGTTTCTTAATACTTTTAGTTGCTGTACTTTTGTGATACTTCCTTTCTACCTCATCTATTCATTCACACACAAATTAGTGTGTACAGTAACCCACTTGCTGACCTAATTACACAAAATAATGTGTAAACTATTAGACTATCTAACAAACTCACACTACTATTAGTGTAAGATTCAACTTTGGTAATAAACTTACACATCCTTGTGTGTAAGACAAACAAACTAAATAACAAAATCAGTGTAAAACTGACCGAAAAATCACTTAAAATGCCAAAATTAAGGGAAAAGCGCGCAATTCTATCGCACTCTACCCCCCTTAAAGAAAACGAGTTACGCCCCCGTAACTCCACTTAATTCAACTTTAGAGTTATGTTGTTCGTTTTCTCTTTCCATCCTTGGTAAAATCATAATACTTCTCTATATTCATTCCTTGTTGCGAGTACCAAAAGTCTCATCGATTCCGTACTCATTATACCAAAAATAATCAATACCATCTATACTATCTTTTACCAATCCTCTAGTAAAAGTATGAAGCACTTTGCTATTCAAAACCTTGATTTTTGTCTAGCTTTCTTTTGATCAAATTGGTTTTATTCAATGGTTTCCTTTGCAAGTCCTACCTTTAGTCAATGACTTATGAAGAATACCTTATACCTTACCAAGGTCCAATAATATGCCAAGTTATTCTTCACTTTACCAATTCTATGCAATTCATATATTTCTATATACCTTGGCTCATTCTCTTTATTCTTTCCATACTTTAACTTTGTTTTATGGGTTACACTTTCAATAACACTTGTCTTTTGTCCCCTGTTTAACTTGCACCACTTAAATCCGTTCATGGATACTTTTCTTGCTTCCCATAACTTTACTCGTTTGAAGTCCTAAGACGATCTTCTCACTAATGTTCCCCGACATAGTGAACTTTCATATTTCTTTCTATACCAACCTCGAAATGTTGCCATGCCAATGCGGCCTTGCATGGTTATCTTTCATTTGTTTTCTCTCCAATGCTTCATGCTCTCTAATGACTTCCAACGTAAATATTCCTTTTGTTTGTCCATTATTATTTGGTGGTTGTAGTAATCATCCTCCGTGTATCACCAAAGTTCTCCTGTATACCTCCTAGGATCTTGAAAGAAACTAGGAATCTCAATCTAAAATGATATCCTTAGGAACTCTATGTAATCTCACAACAAATTTGTTGTAAGCCTTTGCAAGTTGCTCCTTTCTCCAAGTCTCCTTCATCAGTTTTACACATTGTGGATTTAGACAAGCTATCCACCACAATTCAAATGAAACAATCACTCTTAATCATCAATACGCCCTTGTCGAATCCTTTTACAACATGTCCTTTCCTGGGTGTATTTCACCTTCCTCCCATTATATTTCACTTCAACTTCTTACTCTTAAATGTATATTTAAGCTTATTTCCATGACTAATAAAATAGCACATCCTCCTACGAATTCAATCCAAATTCACATTCTCTTCTTGAATTTCCTGCATTTCCTCGAATATCGTCGGTCTCAAACTCTAGTTATCCCAACATTTTCTTTACTTTCTTTTCCAACACTTTTGAGGGGGTTAATTTCCTTCTTTCCTTTTTACTTTGTATCAATCCACCACATTACCTCCAATGATATGTATGTCTTACCCCTATTCCTTTATCAACTCCAATCATTTCTTTGCTACATATTTAAATCCTTGTATGTGAGAGTCTATCTCAAACTTTAAACGTCATTCAAATAATCATGTTTCCATACAAAATTTATTTCACATTTATATTCCCTATAAACTTTCTATTATTTTCCATTAATACATTCACTTGTCTATTATCCTTGAAAATCCATCATAGACCTTTTTCACCCCTGTTATCCAACTTAAAGACCTCAAATGACAACTAATTTATTGTCCATAATTCACCGCTTCTAACCCTGTTACATTAGCAATTACCTCTATACTTTATCACAAGGTCTCCCAAGATGGTCCTTTCTTAATCATAACTCACTCTTAGGAAAAACCATGTGTGCATTTGCTTCTATCTCTGTATTGATAACTTTATCACAAGCGTTCACATCGTCCTTTCCTTCCCATTCTTAGAATTTACCAAAATATCTTCGATAAAACACTCTATTCCTTTAGGTCCATATAAAACATAGGTGCTCTATTAATTCAAAAGGAAAAATAAATGAAACTCAAACCGACCAAATCTTGTCATAAATGCCAATATTCGAAATGTCCTCTTTCGAAGGTTCTTACTTAATACTAGTTCCTATCTTCAAGTCTAACTTCAACATTATATTTATTCCTTTCATTTGATCAAACAAATTGTCTCTTTTAATCAAAAGATAAATTATCCTTCATTGTTACCTTGATCAATCTTCCTAAGCCACTTTACAAATACAAATTTTCATCCCTTCACTTAACAAATTCATGCGCTCTCCAAGGCGATGTAACTTTCTTTCAATGACTTACCACAGTATTCTTTAACTCATTTAAACAATGCAACATTAATCCTTTCTTCACACACAAACACGTCCTTATTTTATTTCCAAAGTTCCCTCAACCCCTATATTTCTTTTCTTACATTACTCTTGCTTACAAATTTCATTTAATCAACCCGTAATTTTTCTTCTAGCATCCCTTGAATAAATCTCATGACTCATAAATAATCTCAACTTCAATTACTTTATAACCAATCCTTACCTAAACCATATAAACACATTCCAATTAAATTCATAAATCTTGTCATAAATTCTTCTCCTTTATGACATTTTCATATTCATAGTTCAATAATTTCAATATCTTTAAGTATATTATTTCTTCATGGTTTTAACATTCTTAACCTACAAGAATTACTTAAGCCACCTTCCTGCTTCTTCTTATTCCTAAAATATCTTTTTAAAACTCCTTTAGTCATCTTGTTGATCTTTCACCCACCTTCTTTCTGGTTTGATCCCTTATCCTCATCTTTAGTCTCACCCTTTTTTTTAGCGAATATATGAATTGTTCACTCTTTATAAAATTCAGTCAAACTCCTAAAAACATTATATGTTGACAAT